TAGAAATGTTCGGAAAAATCCGCCATTTTTTGAGTTACATCTTTTTAAAACTGAATTCTTACCTATTCTCACAAAAGGACCGGTTGACTTAATTAAACTTCTCTCGTACCGCCACTTCGAGTGCCTCTCTTAATTCATAAATTCTTTTGTAAACCTTATTTTTAACCATACCGCATAGAAAAAAATAAAATGGATAGGTCAGGTGATCGAGGAGGCCCATGCAATTAGTCCATTTCTTCCTATCCCTGAGTTTATATTATTATGATATCAATAATTTTAACATTTCTTTCACGCTTGCGGGGGGGGGCATAATGAAATTCATTTTGGAAACACTTATTGATATTTTAATTTACAAAGCTTTGAATGTGACAGCTTCACATTTCTTCATTTGAGAAATTCATATTTACAATTTTTGTTTATTTTAATTTACAAAGTTTGAATGTGACAGCTTCACATTTCTGAGAGTAACGGCGATTGAACTTGGTTCCATGGCTAACTAAGTGAAATTGTTTAAAAATGATAAAAATTGGCTATAACTCAGTAATTTTTCGAAGAAAACATATTATAGCGTATATCGCTAAAAAGCTTAAAAATGCAGCTTTTTATGAAGTCATGGCCAACTATGGTTTCCATTTAAAAAAACATATGTTTGTGTGATATGTCAAAAATGACAGGCTTTAGAAAAAAACAGAGGACACGATCTTATTAAGGATGTGATTATCTACAACTTTTATCTGAAAACTTTTTGTCTAAAATAGCTTATAATAGAATTAGGGACAATTTTTAAAATAGCCGAAATTTGTTTTTTTCAAAATATCTAGTAAGCCATGAACTTTTTCATAAATCTGAAAGGCGCATATTTATGACCCCACAAAACTGCAATTCTTTCCCCATTTAACCGACTCTCTATCTCCAGTAGTTTCCAAGATACCCATAGAGAACATCGTAGGAAACTCACCCTGTATATCTTTTGCTATGCTCTTCTGACCAAAGAGCGGGCCGTCTGGCTGCCGGTAGACTATTGTAGTTTACTACTGCGCATCACATATGTACAAGGTATCCCATTTTCCTGTGTTTTATAGGATTTCTCGTTTGTGAGTAGAGAGGCAATGATGCGACTTTCACAATATATTGCATTAAATATGTTACACATAGGTTTAACCTCCTTAGTTCCTGAAATACATGGCAAATTTGTGCTGCGCAGTAGTGAAGAGATGTTGAATACAGATATGGGGATGCGCAGTAGTAAACGCAACGTCTACCGGTCGCCAGACGGTCTGCATTCTGTTCAGGAGAGCATAACAAAAGATATATTAAAGAACCAGCTTTCTTAAAAGTCTCTCTCGAAAACGTTGCTAGCTCTTAGAATATAAGTAAAACAGCGAAATCGTTATGAAAAAGAAGATATAAAATGACACGAATCACCAATAAATCGTATATACGATAAACGGAGGCATGAAAATGCAATAATGATCTAATAATGATTATTTTCTAACCAATCGAGTCGTTACTCTTTTACTATACTTGTATTCACGTAAAACTTCCCAATATGGCCGACTTCAGAATGGAAGGCTTGAAAACCAAAAATACCTAGATTCAAATCCATAGCTCAAATCGATTCTTCCAACCTTCCTTGCATTTCTTCTGTGGTAGATTATTCTGATCGACGATCGACGCTGCGGCCCGTGTTTGTGATTTTGAATATTTGTGTTTTGAGTTTTCTATTTGATTTTGTTCTGTGTTCTTTAATTTAGCTTGTAGTTCTTGTTATATAGTTATCGTTTTGTGTTTGTGTTGTTTGTATTTTTATAGTATTCGGTAGTTTAATAATATGGCCAGTACAAGCTTTTTTTTTAAAGGTAAGATCATAACCTATAACGCATCTCTGTTAGTTTTATTTAATTTAATATTTTTAGAAACATTTAGCAATAATCCGTTGCCAAATATTTCGGATAGTGATAATGAAAATCAAATGGATCAGGTATAAATAGTTTTAAGTGAAGCATTAATCATAAACAAAGTGATGACATTGTAATCACCTTTAAGAATGATGTTTTGTTTATATATAAATAATCTTCACTGCTCAAGAACTCAGGAATAGCCAGGAAGATATTCAAAATGTGTAAAGCACTTAATTTTTTTTAGGAAGCTATGTCTCATCCACAAATTTGTGGGAATAAACTAGCCCAGATATTTGTAAAAAATGTCTACAATTATTTTGTGAAGAATTTTCTCATATAAGTCCCCTTCAGGTTTGTAATTGTCATATTTTTAGGATATGTAGATTAAAACTTATATTTCAGGAAACAGCACGGGCTTTACAAATTAGCTGCAAGTCAGTTTCGAAATATAAAGAAGGTCCAAAAGACGAGTTAGTTGGGAAGACTTTAAGACAGAAGAAGAAATTGAAGACAGCTAATGTTGGGAATGGCACCAAAGATTTCAAAACTGCGTAATTTTCTAACCAATCGAGTCGTTACTATTTTACTATTTACCTTTGTGTACTGTATTTTGTGTACTTTTATTTTTAATACAGATGCTATTTCCAAAACGTTTATAATTATGGAATTATAGACAAAATAAAAGGAAAATATAAACAAGAAAATAATTTAGAATAGACGTAAAATAAACACATTCTCTTCTGAGACATCCTGTGTACGTAGTGCTCAAGAACACGAATAGATATCACTTTACATTAAATGTAACAAATTTTATTCTACTCGTACAAATTTTGTTTCGTTTACTATAAATATTAGACATCGCCATTCTAAATTACCGAATTATATAAAATGTATTAATATTATTTTACTAAAAGAAAAGGTGGATCATAAAAGCGGGAATTATGTTCATTGATATTTAGATATTTTCGAAGACGTTTCAGTTGTTCCTTGACGATCAGCCTAAGAGCGCTTTCACACACATCGGCAAAATTGGTGCCGGTGCCGGAACTAAAGCCGATTGCAATATAAATAAATTAGCTTCTTCACATACCGGGTGCGTCTCAAAACTGGCTCACCCCTATAACTTTTTTATTTTTTTAATTAAAAAAACGAGATTTGGTATGTTAGTATATGACATAAATTAGGATTGATTGACGTATTGAATTGTTTTCGGTCACTTCCTGTTTCACCGGAAATGACTACAACTTTTGATTTTTAAATGGCGCCCTCGGTATTTTTTTACTTTATTCGATAGAAAATAACACTCTGAATGGAATGATATATCATATGTCAACTTTTGACATTTTCGCATATGGTTTATTTGAAATTATAACTTGCGGTTGGTGATGAAAATTTGACTCGAAATACCAAGTGTGTAGTATCAAATTATTCGTAAAAAAATGCCTTTTCCAAATATGCTAATGAGCCGCCCTCATTCCATTTGAAAAAATTGAGATATGATTAAAAATACGATATGAGCATTTTCTAACTGGCCAGGACAAGATATCTACTAAAAACATTAGACGATCAAATCTATTTTTCCAAGGCTCCTTAATTAAGAATTAGTGTATTTAACATAGCCATGGTACTCTAGATTGAATTTTAAAATACGATTATTTATTAAGCGAGAATGTCAAAAGTTGACTATGATATGTCATTCTATTCAGAATGTCATTTTCTATCAAATAAAATAAAAAAATACCAAGGGTGCCATTTAAAAACTAAAAGTTGTGGTTATTTCCGGTGAAACAGGAAGTGACCAAGAACAATTGAATACGTCAACCAATCCTAATTTATGTCATATACTAACATACCAAATCTCCTTTTTTTATCTGAAAAAATAAAAAGTTATAGGGGGGTGAGCCACTTTTCGAGAACGAACAATTTGTTCTTTTAATATCTCCGGTTCTCTAGAAGGTAGAAAGTTGCGGTTTGCGCTGATATTTTGGAAATGTTGTGCTCTATTTAACTGTGTAAAGAGAAGTATAGCCTCCCTTTTAATTTTTTTATGCAAAAGCGCAATATCTGTTATGATGTCAAATAGCGCCCTCTAGCTACCACGAAAAAAATTACGGAAACAAACTTTATACTCGGAATCATTAAGGAAGAAAAGCTCTTTTAAACGAGCCCTAGTTTGTTTAAATCGGGTAACCCAAACCAGAGTTACCCTTATTTTAATAAAAGCAAGTTTAACCTTCCCCCACCACTTTATTTTATGAGATAGAGCAAAATACTCTATATCAAAAATATTACAAATTTCTCGATGTTCACAAAAGTAATATTTTAAAAACAAAAAATAAATAAATTTTAATAAAAACCCTGTTTTCTAATTGGCTATCAGAGAAGCGCCCCCTAGCGGACATTGTTCGAACTTGAAAATAATTTCCAGCCATTTCTCTTGGTCGATTTACTTATTAGATTTTTTTCCCAAAGTTATACGATAAGTAGTTTCTGAGATACAGCCCATTCTTAGTTGGGCGCCCATTCTTAGTTGGCCACCCGGTACATTGCCCTATATCGTAACCCGAATCAAACGTTTACCTTCATTTTTAAAAAGTCTAATAACTTGGAGACTAAACTTTCCATATAATTTTTTTGGCAATGATTGATGTTTAAATATGATATTATAATTTTGGTCAATATATTAATTTAATAGATATTTTTTATTTTATTATTTTTTATAAAAAATGTAAGCTTTTTTTTTCATATTTATTTAATTGGATTATGTCCTCTGATGTGAATTTTAAGTTAGTATATATTTTTTCTGCGCTTGTGTTCATTTATATTCATGTTTCGGTTGATGTTAATTTTCTCATTACTTAATAATTTGATATTATTTTCATTAAAATCTCAATTTTTATCGATTTTACTTTTGAAACCCATTCCTTGCTTCCTATGACGAACTGCGCCATCATTGCACAAAAATTAGCTAGTACCGAAAATACCAAAAAACGCTAAATCCCGATTCCTTATAGAAGCATAATACGGAAATTACCAGTTCCGGAATACAGCTCCGGTTCCGAAAACCCTAGTCTACATGTTCGTAATTCCTTGTTTCAGATTGCAGAAAATGACTTCAACCTCATCATCTACACTAGACGATCTTCCAAAACAATTTGTGGCCGCCATGCGTACCCTCTTCGACATCATGGACGACAAACTGACAGGTTTCGTGAATATCGCCGACATCGAGGCGAGGTGGCAAGATGACGGGTCCAAGGGACTCCCGAAAGGTGTTTTGGAAAGCCTGAGGAAAGTCACGCCGCCCAATGGGCTGCTGAGCTTCGAAAGGTTTTGTGCTGGACTGAAAATTTGCTTGTTGAGGAATCAGGTTGAAAGACGGAACGATGGAAACATGAAAGGACAAGAAATAGGAAAGGTATGATAACAAAGATTGCTAAAGCCGTGAACTTATAATTTATAGTTTCTAGGTCTCTCTTATTACACTCAGATGCAAAAAAAACGCAACGGAGAAATTTTTAGTCAAATTTAAAGTGTTATATATTTGTTATTTTTAGCCCTATTTTCATGAATTTTTTAGCAAGCTGTATAGGTATAATTATCAACTGTAATTCGTAAACTCAGTTTTTTTATAATCTTTAATATTTGGCATATTATGCAGGGTTAATCGAGGGGTTGTTTTTTACCTTAAATTTAAAACACCCTGTGCAATAATTGCGTGTGTAAACTTTCCTAAAATATAATTTTACGGTTAAAACCATCAGTCCTGAACATTTTGTTTTTTGATTCATGTCAGTACATGCTGTGGTTAATTTTTAAGAGCGAAATGAATTGATCACGATCAATTTGCAATTTTTCAATTATCATTACCTACTTTTTGATGTAATTTTTTAATATGACGGGATGGTTTTGGTGACTATTGTCGTAACGTCATATTGCGCTGCATTGGATACTCTATACTAAATTTAAAAAACGTTAAAAACTAACGATACAGTCCGGGTTTAAGGATATTAAAGAAAAAATCTGTAATACTCAAGTACAGAAACAGAAAACGAAAATTGTAAAAAATACCCTAATACTTTGTATTACCTACCTAGGTTGCTATAACTGCCTGTAGATGTCCGTTCATAATGTAAGGCTGCATATATCACATTGCTTTATGTTTTCCAATTCTTCTTTAAGGACCAAGTGAAGTTCATTTAATGAAGCTGGTAGCGCTTCGCGACCTTTAACCCTTTTGCCAAGCATTTCCCAAACGTCGAATATGATAGGCAGTTCATAGTAGTGTATACTTCACAATATAATCACCAAAGCCGCCTTGTCATATTCAAAAATAACTTCAAACAGAAATGATAATTGAAAAAAATTGCAAATTGTTGGTAGCAAGTTCACTTCACTCTTAAAAATTAACCAAAGTATGTATTGACATGATCCAAAAAACAAAATGCTCAGAAGACATGGTTTTGCCCGTAAAATTATAATTTAGGAAAATTGACACGCAAAATTATTGCACAGGGTGTTTTAAAGTTAGGGTAAAAAAACAACCCCTCGAGTAACCCTGTATAATATGCCAAATACTAAAGTTTATAAAAAAAACTGAGTATAAGAATTAAAGTTGATATAATTATATACAGCTTGCTAAAAAATTTATAAAAATAGGGCTAAAAATAACAAAAATATAACACCCGTTGCGTTTTTTTGCATCGGAGTCTATTATTAAATTTTTGACATAGTATGGTGCATCGGAACTCGAGACGTAGGAAATCCCATGTTAATTTTGAAAAGGTCAGATATTATCTCCCCAGATGATTGTATACAAAAATTGTATTAGACTTTTTTGAAGAGGCGTTAAAGTTGTACTGTCGACTGTTGTCTAGAATTTTGTTTTATTTGGAATACTGATTTTTCCCTTGCACTTTGCCCTCTATTATGAGGCGCAGTATTTCGTATTTACCACCTCTCATCACATTTCTTTCCTTGATGGTGTTCAGTATCTCTTTTTGTTTCTGTATGCGCTGGAGTACTTCATCGTTGGTGATAATTTGTACGCATGAGATTCGCAGCATCCGTCTGTACACATACATTTCGAAGGGTTCTATTCTCTTTTCGGTCTGTGAATCCAGTGTCCAGCTTTCACATCCATAGAGTAACACAGAGAAGACGTAACATCTGGCCATTCGAATTCTGAGTTCAGCACTGAGGTATCGTCTTGTAAAAAATGATTTCATTCTCATGAAGATTTTTCTCGCTTGCTCGCTTGCTGACTCAATCACTCATACCACATACATCCACAATAATTCAGGGGATAATCGAAATATTTTTAACATAAAAACTTAATTAAACTATACTAATTAATAAAATGTTTACATAATTTTCCATTCAGAGCAAAACAATACCCCAAATGATTGTGAAATTCACGCCTCACAATACAAAACTGGTTAAGGGTAGAATCTTTAGCATTCCACAGAGGTGTCGTTATCGGTCCATCTAAATGTACCTATGTGTTTAATATGCTCATAAAGACGGTTTTGCAAGTGCTCTATAGGAAGAAGTAGGGTTTCATCGAGACGAGAAATCTCGTCTCGAAGGCAATTTCTCGCACTCGATTCGAGATTCTCGAAATTTCGAGTCTCGAAAATAAATAACTGATTTATTATTATTAAAAAATTGCCGCCGGGAGGCACGTATAGCCGCCCATACTAAAATATGTTAATAAAAAGGTGGCAGGCAGTTCTTTTAGTTTCAAAGTAAAGACATTTTTAAAAAAAAATTATCTAAAAAACTGCGACTTTGACTGATTTTGATGTTACTACAAATTTTGTTGCAAATATTATTCCTAATCTTAAATTGAAAACCGCGTTTCGCTAGCTACTGTAATTTTGGAGTTACGATTTTTTAAAATTTTTAACCCTCTCCCATACCCCCTTACCAACCCCCCACCCCCACCAAAAACTAATGGCCAGATTCTTGGGTGCCACAATATTTTTGAGCCAAATTTGGTTAAAATCGGTTTAGCGGTTTTTGAGTTATCGTGTTACAGACGGACAGACAGACAGACAGACACCACGAAAATATTTTGTATTTAGATCATTTATGACCCAAATAACTCATTTTGAGTGAAATTAAAAAAACTTTTTTTTACCGATCTTAATAGCCTACCATACCTATTGGTATGGTCGGCTAAAAATATCATGTTGTAAAGTCTGCACCAAAAGATAGGGTAAATTTTTTCTGTTAAAAAATTAAATTATAGAATACAGAGCTATTATAGGTATGGTATGAACTAAAAGCCGTGTGTAACAAAAAAAAACGCAGACTTTGGTTAGCGTTTTAAAAAGCGAAAATCAAAACGATTCCTTTATTTTTTAATTTAGTCTTTTATCCCATATGGGTTTAAAATTTACCTAGCTACCTACGAAAGTTTAAAATGTTTACTTCGTTGTGCAACAAATTGATTTTTGTTTACTCGAAACAGTCTTTTATTGAAAACTTTTTTTCTTCGACATTACTTAAATTCGTTTAGCTCAATAGGAGTTAATAGTGAAATTTATACAAAAATGGTGCCATAAGAACAAGAATATATTATATTTACCGCATTTCTTTATTCTGAAAAGACCGACTGATCGAACAGTTTTGGGGAAGTTATCTTTTGATTATTTGTAATAATTGTAAATAAAGAAATGTAAATTAGCATTGTACGAGAAAATATTTCCCAACATAGTTTTTTATTTCCATTTTTCTAGCCTTTTATGAGCTGTTGAGTTATTGCAGCATCTAAAGTTTTTCGAGATCGAGAAATCTCGAAAAAATTTCTCGATCTCGAAAAATCTCGAAGTCATTTTCTCGATCTCGTCTGGAAAAAAAAATCTCAGTCTCGTTTCGATCTCTTCTCGAAATCGAGACGAGACGAGACGAGACGAGAAATCTCAAATTTCGAGAATCTCGTGAAACCCTTGGAAGAAGTCGTTCGGCGAAAGATCCTGTGTAGTGGAGTAAAAACGATATAAAAATGTGTCAAAAAATTTTTTGGAGGTATAACTACATGATATCTATATAGGATTATTAGTTAGGGCTTTGTCCATGTAAAATGACTAATTACGACCTTTTTGGGGGGGTCAGAAATTTTTTATCCCGGAAAATGTCAAAAATCTGTCAAAAATCTATAACCATGTTTTTTTACCGTTCCTACGCGATAACTCCTAAACTAATCAACTTATTCACATACTTTTTTTTTTAATCGATTAATCGCCTATGTATTCTCAATATTGAGAATACATAGGCGATTATAACCATGTTTATAACCATGTTTTTTTACCGTTCCTACGCGATAACTCCTAAACTAATCAACTTATTCACATACTCTTTTTTTTAATCGATTAATCGCCTATGTATTCTCAATATTGAGACTATAATTGCCTATGTATTCTAAAAACATGGTTATACATTTTTGACAGATTTTTGACATTTTCCGGGATAAAAAATTTCTGACCCTCCCAAAAAGGTCGTAATTAGTCATTTCACATGCACAAAGCCCTAACCGATCATTTCATAAAGAGTTTATGTGGTTATACCCTCAAAAAAAAATTTTCGAGAAGGAAGCGACTTTTTTCAGTGATTTTACTCGACTAGTGGTTTTTTCCTACTGTATCTCCAATAAAAGGGGAGTCAATGATTTTCTTTCTTTCTTCTTTTTTTTTCTTTTCTTCACCATAAAGAATATTCAAGTCATTGTTATTTCCTTCCTGTTCAATTATTTTTGTCTTCACATTTCCATGTGCTTAATTACTTTAGTGCCTTTAGTTTCAAACTTCCGGTTTATTCTTTAAACTATTGTTACGGATTCCGTGGGTCCACTAATTTAAACTCACGATAAAATACTTAACGAATTTATTTTCTCACTTTATACACAATTACTAACTTATAACACACAACAAACTAACTATTTATAAGATTCCTTCACCAAATTGTCCGATTTTCAATTTCCACGCGGTATTTTCAAATTTTTGTAATTTGACAATGACACAATGATATTTTCGCTGGTATTTTAATTGTAGCTTTCTCTGTGCAGTATTATAAATTTTACTAATTTGAATGGAGATTTTTGCAAATAACTTTTAAATGGCTATTCCAAATGAAACGAAATTCTACACAAAAGTACATCTTTAACGCCTCTTCAAATAAGTGTGATACTTTTGCATTAAAACATCTGGGGAGATAATATCACCTTTTCAAAATTTACATGGGATTTCCTATGTCCCGTGTTCCGATGCACCACACGGTATATCAAGGTAAAGTAAAGAATTTTAAATTACCATATCGTTTTTCCTATCAGTGCTAATTTGGAGAACGATATTAACGCTGATTTCAAACCACAATCATCAACTTAGCGAGTGTGTAAATTTACTCTTTATTCACATA